TGATGCAAAGGCAGGTAGCCCAATCCCAACCTCCACTGGCTTAGAACGGAGCACTCCGTGCGCTTCTGCTTTTTCCCCAACCGCTGAAAGCTTTGGGGTCTCAGCCCAGATAGGCTCCGGGGTGGTTCGGGGCGACCCTGAGCTAAGGTTCCACCAGGTTCCACCAGGGTTCCACCAGGGTTTGACCAGGGTTCCACCAGGGTTCCACCAGGGTTCCACCACATTTCCACCACCAGGGTTCCACCAGGGTTCCACCAGGATTTCACCAGGTTCTGCAAGGGCGGGGTGGTCTGGGCTGGTTTGAGGTAAGGTTCCACGAGGGTTCCACCAGGGTTCCACCAATTTCTTTGAGGGCTAAGGTTTCACAAGACAAGGGTTCCGCCAAATTTCCACAAGGGTTCCAGGCTGCGGGTTGTCTGGGTGGTTTGAGGTAAGGTTCCACGAGGGTTCCACCAGGGCTGCAGGGTGGTCCGGGTAAAGTTCCACGAGGGTTCCACCAGGGTTCCAGCAATTTCTTCGAGGGCTGGTATGGTCTGGTTTGAGGAAGGTTCCACGAGGGTTCCACCAGATTTCCACCAGAATTCTGCCAGGGTTTGACCAGGTTCTGCGCGGGCTGCAGGGTGGTCCGAGGTGGTTTGAGGTAAGGTTCCACAAGGGTTCCACCAGGTTTCCACCAGAATTCCACCAGCCCGTCGTGCTCCGGACGAGGGTTTCACCAGATTTCTCGAGGGTGCGGCGTGGTCCGGGGAAGGTTTTGCAAGGTAAGGTTCCATTCCAGCGTTCCATTCCAGCACGGTTCCAGCAGGGTCCCACGAGGTTCTGCGAGGGCTGCAGGGTGGTTTGAGGTAAGGTTGTATGAGGGTTTCAGGGTTCCACAAGATTCTGCGAGGGCTGTGGGCCCTGAGGTTTCACAGGGTTCCACAAAGCTCTGCAAGGATTCCACACGGGTTCCACAAGGCTCCACAATGCTCCACCAAGGGTGTGTCGTGCGCCCGTCGTCTGAAAAGCCATCGGATCAAGATCGCTTTGCTCATGGGCGGAACTCTAAGCAAAACCGAAATCAATGGTTTTTAGCACACTTTCACTGTTTTGTGACTTGCTCACTTGCTCAGGCAAATGTTGGCTTTGTGGCAAATCAGATCACGTTGCTGCGGAACTCACGGCGCAGCAGCTTGGCATTGCTGCTTGGTGGGCTTTGGGTTCCAAGAATTCCACAAGGCTGCAAGGGCTATGAGGTCAGAAGGTTTCCACCAAATTCTGCAAAAGCTATGGGGCGGCCCTGAGGAAAGGTTCCAGCCGAGCTCCACGAAAGTTGCGTGAGAGGTTTGCGAGGTTCACCGGGCCTGGGTCGGGGCCCGATTGCACTGCCGGGGACCGCCCGATTGCACCGTTTGGGCCCGATCGGCCCCGATTGCGCCATCGCGCCCCGATCGGGGCCCGACTCAGTCGGGCCCCGTCAATTGTACCAAGCTGGCATCGCCTAGTTTTGCTATAGATACAGTTGCAATCCGCATACTAAGGAAAACCGGCGTTGAGCCATAATATGGGTGGCTGGGGTTGCACCACGGGACGATCGGGGCCCGATTGCACCGTCGGGCCCCGATCGGAACCCGATTGCACCGTCGGGCCCCGATGGGGCGTCGGGCCCCGATCGGGCCCCGATTGCGCCGTCGGGCCCCGATCGGGCCCCAATTGCACCGTCCGGCACCAGCCGGGGCCCGACTCAGTCGGGTCGGGCCCCGTCAATTGTACCAAGCTGGCGTCGCCTAGTTTTGCTATAGATACAGTTGCAATCCGCATACTAAGGAAAACCGGCGTTTGAGCCACGGGACGATCGGGGCCCGATTGCACCGTCGCGCCCCGATCGGGCCCCGATTGCACCGTCGCGCCCCGATCGGGCGTCGGGCCCCAATCGGGCCCCGATTGCGCCGTCGGGCCCCGATCGGGCCCCGATTGCACCGTCGGGCCCCGGTTGAGTCGGGCCCCGTCAATTGTACCAAGCTGGCGTCGCCTAGTTTTGCTATAGATACAGTTGCAATCCGCATGCTAAGGAAAACCGGCGTTGAGCTATAATATGGGTGGCTTGGGCTGCACCACGGGACGATCGGGGCCCGATTGCACCGTCGGGCCCCGATCGGCCCCGATTCCGATTGCACCGTCGGGCCCCGATCGGGCCCCGATTGCACCGTCGGGCCCTGTCAATTGTACCAAGCTGGCGTCGCCTAGTTTTGCTATAGATACAGTTGCAATCCGCATGCTAAGGAAAACCGGCGTTGAGCTATAATATGGGTGGCTGGGGTTGCACCACGGGACGATCGGGGCCCGATTGCACCGTCGGGCCCCGATCAGGGCGAGCTCGTAGCTTTGCTTTACAAGGCGGCATCCTCAGCAACACCGGCGGTGAGGATGGTCCCGGGGCGTTCCGCGAGGATTCTGGGAGGGTGTGGTGCTGTTGGGGATATCGCCCGAGCTTATTTTCTTGTTCCTTCGATTTCTGATGATCTGAATTGTGAATCTTTGTGAGATTCCCGGGCCCCATCATCTCTAGCTCTGGCCCAGGCCTTGGTTGGCACGTTGTAGAACTCCTGGTGCAGCTTATCCTGTCAAAGGCTGAATTCGCACACCTTGCGGAGCTGTTGCAGCAAAGTCCCAAAACTACAAGTGTGCCCCATTTTTGAGGGTACCGTTTTTGGGCTTGGTTGAAGTGGATATTAAAAGGAAACCTCCTTTTTAGGCGTTCCCCTTAGTCTCCCACAGTTGTCAGGACCCTTATTAGCTTGTATTAGCCCCCATTGGGATTGGGAGGCCTCATTGGGGGGCCCCTTGACAACCATAGGGTATTGATATTCTGAGACAAACCCATATAGTTAACCCTTTGGTGAGTGTTGCATATTTGCCATACCTCGGTCACGACAGTGAACAACGACCCAAATTGCTCAAATCATCAGAGGCAATCGCAATGGCGAACAAGCTAGGTTCTCTGCCTGACAAGCTGCCGGGACAGTCTTTTTGCAAAGCAATAACATAGGCTCGATGCTTTGCCTCTGTCCCTTCACTTTGTACACCTCGGGGCTGGAAAATGTGAGCTTATGCATTCGCTTCTGCGTCGCCGAGCAACTGGCCCATAGTTTGGCTACCGCAGAGTGGATTGCATCAAGCCTCCATTTCCAGCTCCCAAGCGCAAGCGTTATTCATTTTCAAGCAGGTGACGCTGACTGCAGCCTCCTTGATGCGTTATTCAGACCTGAGAATTTTCGTCGAACAAGCCCGCTTAACGGCAACCGGTCAAATCATCAACATGAGTGTCTTGCACATCTCACTCCGCTGCCTCAGCACTGGCTCCCCTTCTGCGACTGCGAGAAGGAATTCTCGACTCAGTGGCTGTGGGTTGCTTTTAATGAGGCACCGTTTGGTGGACATCATCCACGCGGGGAGTTACGTCTGCCAACCGTTTCTGAGCTGATGTTCCCTCGTGAAAGGAGTTTTCCCTTCGAAAGGATCTGAACAAAAGGTACCCTCAACAAAAGACAGACCGATTTATCTTTCGGGATTTGCGCCCGCCAACCATTGTTGACGGTGTTTCCTATGAAAACTCATGCCAAATTCATAGCCACTTAGCTGAAGAGTCTTGATCGGATCAGAAAGCCGAGGCAGCTTCACCTGCTCGCCTGTTCGCAATGCTCTGCCTCGGGCAGAGCCACCAACATCGCGTTTCGCGGCGCCCGCCACGTGCTGGAAAGGGGCACTGGGGTTCCTGAGAAATGATGGATTTATATCGGGGCCGCTGTGGTGGACATCAGAGATACGTGGAAATTTATTCGCAACCAAAGTTGAGGGTGCTCCGCATTGAAACGTAAAGTCAGATGTCACCTTTAAACATCACCTACAACTTTCAAATAGCTTACAGGGTGACGCTTAAATCACGCGAAAAAGGGAACACGGATGCGGGGGCAAGCTTCGAATGATCGGTGTTGCTTGGGGTTCAAAGAGGGTTCCTTCTTTGATTGCTCTCGGTCTCCTAACGCGCTCAAAGTGAACATTTCGAGGGTTTGCGAAGTTGCTTTTGGGGGTGTCTGCACAAAGCCCTTTAGCGGGTAATTTTGAGGATGTCGTTGAATTGGACATCCCCGATCTGGTTCTTCAAAGCAATGGAGGAGGACTGTAAGGTGGATCGATTTGCTGCTGGCAAGCACGTTCCGCACGCGAATGCTGGAAAAGGCCAAAACAGCATTTGAGCGGTGCTCAAAACCGATCGAGATTTGGTTACCCTCATAGCACCCCTTCGCGGAGCTTTCGCGAAGCTTTCGTGCGCGTGTTTTCCTTCGGCATCGGCTGCGCAGCGGCCCCTTGGAAATTAACAAGGTACAAGAATGATGCACCAGTACACTGGGTAGCGGGTAGCTCCGGATTGAGAATCGCAATTTTTCAGAACAAGCGTAGCACACCAAGTGCAACGCTCCAGCTTAAAAACCGCAACTTGTCAGTACAAGAATAGTGTGCAAAAGAAGCCACCATGGAGCCTTCGCGGAGCTTTCGCGCAAATCTCCCCGCTTGTTCCAACTGTGCACACTAATGAGCAAATGCATGCTCTCGCACGGTCAACGCCTGCTCGATTCGCGTGCTGCCTGCCCCAAGCGCCGGCTGAACAAGTAGGGGCAGTCTGAGTTTTTGGAAAACGCTTTCGCGAGCTTTCGCAATGCAGGATTTTGCTTTTGCGGAAGCTATATAGAAACCCGTTTAGATAAAGATCGTCGTGATGGTGTTGGGCGCTGCTCATTGCAATGTTGACCCTCTGGGGCTACATCTAAAATGTTGCGGCCAGAGTTTTCAGCACGCAGCAGCAAATAAGTCTCCTGTACGCATCTCTAATCCATGTTTTCAAATGGGCAAATTACCGGTACTCCACCGGCATGTCCACGCACTAGCCTTCAACCATGAAGGGGAGGATATCAGAATGTCATTTCGATAGACCTCTCCCGGGACTTTATGTTTGAAGGCAGGTCGACATGAAACAAAGCGAAACAAAGCCCCCAAAGGTCGCAAAAGGGGCGACCTACTCTTCTGATAACCTCCAATTGTTATGACGGCGCATCTGCCTCTTGCGCTGGGCTCAGGAGTACGGGCGTGTCCAGCGGCGCCGCCTGCCGCGGCTCTAGCGCCGCGTCGGCCCAAAGGGGAAGTACCCAGAAGTACCCAGAAGTACCCAGAAGTACCCAGAAGTACCCAAACGGGAAGTCCCTTGCCGAAAGACGGAAAGACGGAATTTTGATTCCATGCCTGAGGACGTCCATCATGAGGGGCTTCTTGTTCCACTCCGGCTGTGACCATGCCATGCCGTAGACCTTGGATGTTGAGCAATTGCAGCCGATTTACGCCGCCCTCCATCATCTAGGATATATTCCAAAATATGTGATTGATGTATGCACCCATTGACAACCGTGTGGTGCATGTGCATCATACATGTGTGTGTGTGTGAATATACATATATGTATATTATGCATATATATATATATGCATGAACACACATACGTGCAAGAATCGTGATCGCCCGGCATGCAGCTCCCTATCTACCGCTACAACTGCAACCACTACAGACTGTCACATTGCATTGAAACCCCTCCAGCTGAACAAGGGGTAACCCGTACCCTCCTGTGATACATCGTTGCAAGAACACATGGTTGGAATTGCCTCCTTTGGTGATGTCTAGAGTTCAATTTATGTCAAAGGCACATGTGAATAACACGCTTGATTCCCATATTCTGAATGCCAAACAGTTGTCTGGCTGGTGCTCGGAAACCCTGTTTGTGCCGCTTGCCTTGTGAATGGGGAAATCTCAAAAACCCAGCGCATTCTGCATCCATGCTCTCTGAAAAAAAAACAGCTGCTGCCCAAGTTGCCCAACCCTCAGCGTCGGTGTGCTCTGTCACATCCTGAGGAAGCCCAGGAGAATCGATCCAACGAGCTCAGATCCAACAAGCTCGCAAGGTGCCAAATGAAAGCGAAATGGATCACCTCAAGCCAAGGCACGATGGACCACGGCCCCACTGCCTGGCAAAAGGGTGCTGTCAGTTGGTTTTTGCACAGGCTGTGCCAGGTTCAGATTTACCATTTGGAGGATACCGTTCCTGAAAGCGGAGTTGCTTGGAGGCAAGTCTTTATGCACTGAAGAGGCTATAAAACTCTGGGTTGCCCACAAACTTTCTATTTATGGACGATCGCCCCAAAGAATACTAGATCCAGGATGATTGTTGACCCCCTAGAAAGAAGCAGCTTCTTCCTGGCCAAAGGTGAGGCGAATTGTTCCCAGTGGCACAAGATCAAACCAGGGACCCAGTTTGGTGGGTCACGGGAGACAAAGAGGATTGGGGTCGGCTAAAGGGTCGAGATTTAGTTTAGGATTTGTTATGTTTTATTTGTGTTTTTGTTTTTGTTTTCCGTCCTGGCTAGTAAAATGCTGTATCTCACGAAATGTACGTATTTTACGCTAGTCCGTCAACATCATCAGCATCGTTTTCAACATCCTCCGCATGTCCAGCCAACATCCCCAGCATCACCAGCAAATCGAGGGCCTTGGCTTCCTACATCTTCAGCATCATCAGTTCTGCGGATCTCCCTCATGATGGTAAAAGTGAGGATTCTAATACGGGTGCAATCCCTGTAAAACACCTAAAACGTAGCGGCGGGGTTGGGCCCCCCCATGATGATAGAAAAAGTGATGATTCAATTCGAGCCCAAAAATCTAAAAAGCAGCGGGGGGGGGGGGGGGGGGGGGGGGGGGGGGTGGGGGGGGGTGGGGGGGGCGGCAGCCCCTCCTCTGATGATCGAAAAAGTGATGATTCAATTAGGGCCAAAAAGTCTAAAAAGCAGCGGGGGGGCGGCAGCCCCCCCATGATGATCGAAAAAGGGATGATTCAATTAGGGGCAAAGAATCTAAAAAGTAGCTGTCGCATGATGATCGTGCATTTTAATCGAAAGGGGGGTAGTGGGGGGCACTAGAGGGGAACTGGCGATGCTGAGGATGCAGGGAGCCAAGGCCAAAACCAACTGTGCGAAAAGCCAAAGCCAAAAAGCCACCTGCCGCAGCGAAACTGGCAATGCAGAGGAAGTGAAAAGCCAAAGCCGCAAAAGCCGCATGAACCCACAAAGACAAACAGAGAGGAAGTGTGAATGCAGAGGATGCAAAATGAAAAGCCACAAAAGCTACAAAAACCCACGTAAAAGCCACAAAAGCCAAAAAGCCGAAAGCCACCCACCCTGAAAAACAAAAAAAACCTTCAAAGAAAACTAGAAAAATAAGAAAAGAAACAAGAAAACTAAAGAAAATGGCCCTCCTCGGCTAGATCCTTCTGGAGTCCCATGAATACCCGACACCAAGCAGGGGGGTAACCTCCAAGCTGCAATGCAATGTGAGATCCATCCTAGGATCGCCTCCCCTCTCGGCGAAGCGACCCTTTTCAGGTTCCTGTCAAAGAATACCCCACCCGAAGGAAAATTGTCTTCCAGGATTCAAATGGGTTCCATGTGAGAAGTGGGTCTTTGAGTCGGCCTTGTAGAGGCCTCCCAGCTGGCACGGTGGCTCCTAGCACAGGTCCATATTTCCATTTTAGAAAGGTACAAGGTTGGAGGTCAGATCAAAGAGCGACGAAGCGGCAACACTGTGGCTCTTCTCAAAGCTGCGTGCATCCAGCTGCCACAACGTCTGTCCTTGCACTTGGTGACTTTATCTTTGCCGAGCTTCTCGTCAACCTCTGGAAGCAACCCGTGCGACAGACATCAAGCGACTTGTGTGGTGGGCCGCCACTTGACAACACAAAGGGCTCAGCACAACCCTCACTTGAGACACCAAACCCAGAACGGGCCAGCACTGCCTTTGCACGAATCTATACCGTGACATTACAAAGTTGCTTTCAGCAGTCAACGAGAAAGCTGAATGTGGATGCCTCAAAATTAGAGGTCATTTGTCGTGGATGTTCAAAGGAGTTGTGCCGGCAACTCAAGCCTCCAGCTCTCACCCGTGCCTGAGGATGTTTCTTCCCGTCACTGCCCACCCAGCGCCACTGCAGGTCGCCGTCTGTCGGCCAGCCACAGGTTCCTTGGCGGCAATGGCATGGCACTTCCCTGGAGCTGTGCTGCCGGCCATTCACATTCACCCTGAATGGAAGTGATCGTTTGGCCGTGAGCCGAGGCATTTGCAGCCAGTTGATAGCTCTTGGGCTCGAAAGACCCGCTGGGCGCGAGGCCCAGCGAAATGAGATCTTCTGATCTGGACCTGACCCACTGCTTCCTCAGTGCTAAGTTTCCCTCACAGCCCCAAGGCGAACGGGTTCAGAGATGGGCCAACCGGCCTGTCACCTTCAGCGGACACTTTCTGCCTGTTGTTTTGTTCTTGGAGTCCCCCCCACCGTCCCCGCAGTTCAGATCAAAGAGACGTAAGTCCACCATGCCTACTCGGCCACGTGCGCAAAGCTGCCCTCTTCCCAAAGGACTTGAACCTTCTGCCGCGGCTCCCCAGCCAAACTGGTGCCGCTCCACCTCGAAGACCTCCAACAACCTGGAAGCAGATGCGGCACCCTCTTGCTGATGGTGCGGGTCTTACTGGAAGGGAAGAAAATGCAATGTCCTTTGGTGCTTCGGGCTCTGCTTAGACACGCCCATGAATTTTATTTGCACATCACACAGGAGAAAAGAAAGTGTGACACGCGTTTGGCTGAAAGCATGTGCTTGAAGACCTCCCCCACCTGCTCCTCGCGGCCCCACGGTCCTTCAGCATGTCCTGCACTTAGAAACGCGGCTAAAGCGACCGAGCTTCGGCTGCAGGTGGGAAATCAAAGCCAAAGGGAGTCTGAAAATGAAAGTCCATGCAACATGGGAAACAGGGAAGCATGGGCGCATCAAGATAGATGAAAGAGGGCCTCCTAGTTCTGCTGGCTAGCGGCCAATGGAACGCCCCGCAAGGTGCGCTTTTTAAGATGGCGTTCTTGTGTCCTCAATCAGGTGACCTTATGATGACGATGATGATAATGATTCATTCGTGATGCACAACCCTGCCCATGACGACAATGAAACCAGCCATGGTCGTTTAAGCTTACGGCGACGTTAGCCACGTGGAAGAATTCATTTTTTCCTGTCTCTCATTCCTTCAACCTATGCGGGTGGGGGTGGGGGGTGGGGTTGTGGGGGGCGAGTAAGAGTGTTCGTAGCACGCTTGACTTCGAGTTGCATTTCTGCCAGTGGCAGGTCGCGTTTACCGCAAGCTGCGCGCAGCAGGCGCGCAGCAGGTTCGCGCTTCTCGCCGCGCGTCTGTGTTGAGGGGGGTGGGGTGGGGTGGGGTGGGAGTAAGAGTGTTCGTAGCACGCTTAACTTTGAGTCATGTTTCCCGCCAGTGGCAGGTCGCGTTTACCGCAAGCCGCGGGCAGCAGGTTCGCGCTTCTCGCCACGCGTTTGTGTTCGAGGAGGGGGTGGAGCGGGGTGGGGGGGTAAGCGTGCTGGTGCGCGCTTGACTTCGAGTCATGTTTCCCGCCAGTGGCAGGTCGCGTTTACCGCAAGCCGCGCAGCAGGTGCGCTCTTCTTGCTGCACGTCAGTGTTTAGGCTTCGCGCTTGCAGGTCCTCTTTCTGTTGACATGTTAACACAAGCGCAGGAAAGTGCTTCTCTATTTGTTTGCTCAGGCGTGTCGCGTGTGCGGGCCCATGAAGGAGGAACGCAAATGATGGAAAGATGCTGGGGCAGTGGACGTACAGCTGTCAATTCAGATACATTAATGCGGAGTAGACCTCTGGCTAGAAGTGCCCGAAGTCTTGAAGGCGGCAAACCGAAGCGGCGTATGCAAAAAAGTGACGGCCCGCGTCGCTAACGTCGCCGTGACCTCGTTTTTGGACCAATACGTGAGCGTTCTGGCATCCCCGATTTGACGACTCACCACAATTCGGATGAAGTTGTTTCTTATATCCCCGATCAGGTGACCCAGTCGTGACCATTTCTTGTGCGCTGCATGGGCCTTTCTTGCGTGCTCGATGAGGTGATGGCTCAGGTGGCCCCACCATGACCTTTTTGATCGCAAACGAGATGCTCTTGCGTCCCTGATCAGGTGGCCGCCTACAACCAAGATGATAATTGTCAAGAGACGGCAAGGTGACGTCCCGTGGGACGCTATGCACCGAACCCTCAAGCTGTAATACCAACCACGTAGAAAGGTGTATACGGACGATGCCGTTATAGCCGAACCCGTGTAAACGTTGTAAGGGAGAAGGAATGATAGTTACAACAGTAGTCCTGACAAATGCAGCGCAAGCGAAGTGTTTTCGCTCTCAATGCCGATCACGTATGTATGCAGTCACACATCAGATCTTGAACCTCAATTGTGTCTTGAGCCAAATGGCGATCAATGGAACTTGGGAAGCAACACCAACAAGGACCTCAGAACAGCTACCCAATTTCGGCACGGGGCCTAGAGGGTTTTAACATCCCCCATTTGGGTCGCATTGTTCATCATGCGGTCCAAACACCACAAAACGTTCCACTGGCCACGGCTTCAACTACGAAATCGTGTCGTGCATTCTTTTACTTGCTATCACTACACCGTTCATTCGCTGTGAAACATGCCGGGTTCGATTGTACGAAAAGTGAAACATTCATCCTCCAATCGAAGCACACATCCATATGCAGGTGTATATAATACACAATCGTCGCGTCATTTGACCACCAATGAACAATCCAGCTGCCGCATTTGCGCATCGCGCAGCTGTCATCCATAAATGGGTTGGCCGAAAAAAGTCCACCAGAGGCGCCTGCTCGCAATCGGTCTGCATAATTCCGGCAAAGAAACATCGGTGAGTAATCAATGCAAATCATAGCCATTCCAGATACCATGGACAATGCATAAATAATGAAAAGATATCATCTATAAGGTAATAGTTCCATCCATGAATATCCAGAGCGTCATAGTCATCGGAATATGTAACCATGTACACACCCAATCATCTTGGACACATGAATATAAATCATGACATAAGTCGTTCCACCGAAACAGTGTCGATGTGACGCAAGTAACAGATGGGGACTGACCCACATCGTACCGCAATCAGCATCTTCACGAAGCATACCTGTCCCCAATGGACAGCCTATGGGTACGTCGGCGGAACTCCTCGTCCAAGTTCTTCTGGGCTTCTCGTGCCCGGACACACTTCTTGTTGTAGTCCTCTGGCAACCAGTGCCCTTTCCGAAGGCACCAATCCAGCAGGGGTGTGTCGCATTTGTTCGGGTCGATGGCCGAGATGATGGCGCTCACGTTGACCGTGTAACCATTCTTGCCAAGGTTTAGGCCATCCCTCACGAATGATATATACTTACAGTTGAAAGCTAGTGCAAAACATCTGAAAATAATATCACCCACCGGGTGCACTCGGTCCTTGACCAGGAGCTTCATTTCTTCCTTGGTGACATCGAGGATTCTCGCTGCAATCCACAGCTTGTAGAATGTGTAAAGTCCCTCGCATTTGCACACCATCATACGAATATATTCGTCACGCTCCTCAACCGATCGGAAGGCTCTTGTCCGAACATTCTCCGATTGAGAAATCTTCGTTATTGTTGATGGCAAAAGTATACCTTCCTGATCATGCTCAGTGATGTTGGGGTACCTCTTGAAATCATTGTGATAAGGGCAGCCCGGATTCCCTTCGAGTCCGGCATTCATCGTTCTCTCCTCACCACCTTCAAACATCCCCCACATCTTGGACAGCTGGAGTGCGATAAATCCTGCCATGTACTGAGCCTCACGCGGCTCGTCAAGGCAGATCGCCATCCGTTGGGAACTTATAATGTCCCGTGACGCCAGATCGGTGTCGCGGTAATGCCAACCGCTGTCTTCTTCTTCTGACGCATAGCCGGATGTATATCCTTGCGTGTCCATGTCGTCATCTTCTCCCGGAACTTCCTCCGCTTCGTCTTCATCCTCCTGTGCTGCCGCATCGTGGTTAGCTTCTTCCTGTGCACGCCTGGCATCTCCAGAGACGTTGGGGTTTTGGTTGTCCTCCTCGTCATCGGATTTGATGTGAATGTAGTATCTTCCGATGGAGATCAGTTGTGCCTCGCACTCCAGGCATAAGCAGAAGCAGGTGGGGATCGCGGTCGCACATGATGGACATATCCGGCACCTCAGTCCTTCCCATGTCTCGTCATTCAGGATGACGACTTTGCTGATTTCGTCCCGGACCTCGTTGACCTGTGCATTGAACTCTTCCATCTTGTTGATTCGATAGAGTTCGCAGGCACGATTAACCATGTCAACGATGTAGTGCAGATTATCGGCACCTGTCTCAGTCTCCGGCATCCTCTCGCTGATCTTTGCGACGTTCTGGAGGAACATCGCAGCCGACTCTTGGGAAGAGTTGACAAAGCCAGGGCAGATCTCGTTCTCCACACACTTCGAGTACGCCCTCTTGATGTCAGCGTACTCCAGGCGCTTCCCTCCATTGCTTTTGCCAATCCAAATGGACTTGACCTCATAGAACGGGATCACGTCAAAGACCATGAAAGTCCCATTAGCCGCGACTCCAGCCCCATACCGCGCGAGGGTTGCACTGGGAATATAGATGATCGCAATCGGATCCCCTCTCCTCACGTTCCGTAGCGTTGTCTTCGTCGCCACGTTCATCTCATCCCATGGAGCAAACGCCCCGAAGTGCAGTGCTAGCCTGTTGCCGCCATCGATTCCGCCGGGGACTAACCCACAGCGTACGATGCTTGGCAGGTTTTCCACATACGTCACATGGAATGCTCCTCCGAGAGAATCACCCATTCTTGCGGAATACCTATTCGCCAGTGCGGATGAGCTCATGAATCCAAAATCACTGTGACCGGTTGTGACTCGGATGCACCAAGGTCTGTACCATCCATCGCATCTGTTGAACATCCTGTCGATGTCGTCCCGATCCACGCCAGCTTCGGTCATTTCCTCCCTGGCTGCCCTCGTGTCGTTCGGGTTCATGATGCTCGGAAACCTTGCTGCCAAAACCTGGAATCTCGATTTTCTGCTTCCGGATTCCTGCCACTTGATCACCTCCATGATGCCCATGTATCGTTTCGCTCTCGTGGTGTATGGTGGGAATATGTCGTTGTTCCGGTCGTCAATGACAGCATCAATGTCGACCCATCCACCCTCGTCGCACCTGAAAGCACTTCCTCGGCAATTGCCGATCTTGTGTCGAAGGACTCTGCATAGGTCGTGAGATAGCTGGTTTGCTTGGTCCCTTGTAGTAAATACCGAGCGATCATCACCAATCCTGCATAGTGGAGCACCGTCGAAAGGAGCAATGCAGAAGTTGACACTCTTGCCAAGTTGCATCACGTCCACTTGCTCAAGGATTGCACCTTTGGGAAAGTATTTGGGGTCAACGATGGACGCATACGCCCATGGCAAGTGCACATCACTCACATCGCCATACTTCGGGATGTAGCACGGGATGGTGTCGCATCCCATCTCAAGCGTCTTCTTGAATGTCCTGTTGTCCCCGCACGGGTTGTAGGTGAGGTCGACGCCACCACATTGTAGCTCTCCTCCCTCAGCCGTGTCAGCCATCTCCACCAAATTAATAGTGTAGCTGTACATCTCAATTGTTTCTTTCCCTGCTTGTCCCCCTTTCTTTCTTTCCTTGGACGTTGATGAGGACGGTTCCTCCGTATCCCCCATGTCTTCATCAGATGAAACAGGGTCACTGCTGAGTAGCTCACGGAGCACCTTCATCGCCTTCTCATTTCCAGCAGCCTCCTCAAT